TCCCGGAGCTGAGATCCCCGTGGCCAGGATGCACCAACAGCAAGGACTGCACCAAACCCGTTCCACTGCAGGACTTTGCAGCCAGGTCCCATGTCCACAGCTCCTGTTAGAGATGTGGGAGCAGCCTTCCAGAGGGGGTCAGTGCCAGCCCGGGCAGGCATCGCCAGGTGCCAGTGAGGCTCAGGAGATGAGGATGGTTTGACAGGAGGCTCCAGCTTTCCCGGGAAAGGCACCCCGGGCTGCTCGTTTAACAGCTGATTATTGCTGTCTTTGATGCTCTCCCTGCTTCCCAGCCAACACGTGTTCAGCACTGAGATGATTTAACAGCTGAGCCGAGCCCAGCCCCTGGCACAGAGAGGGAGTTTAGCAGTGCTTGATCTCCCAGAGGGTGCCCCAGAGGTGAGGATTATGTTGTTATCAGCATCCCTAAAAATCCAGGTGATGGGAACAGCAGAGACATGGAAAGGATAGAGCATTTCTCCTGTCGGGATTTCACCACTTTTTTTTTATAAGTAATTGCTGGTTTCTGAATTTTTTTCAAGAGTTTCTTTGGGTTTTGGTTTTTTTTTTTTTTTTTTTTTGTATGGTTGGGTTTTTTTCTGGAGTAATTCCTTGCAAACCTTCTCATTGACTTCAGTCTGTCCTGAAGCCATGGGGATTTTTTGGTTTAGAGATTTGTATTTGGAAGATGCCTCCAGTCACTGCTCCCTGGGGGTCTGAGTCCCCATGCCCAGGTGAGGCATCCACCACCCCAGCAGCTCTAGAGGACTTTGAGCCTGTCCTGAAGTGGAACGGGGAGAAGGTGGAAATACATCCTTGAGGCAGAACTCAGCTGCAAGGAATCCCAGAATGGGTTGGGTGGGAAGGACCTCAGAGCCCATCCAGTGCCACCCCTGCCATGGCCGGGACACCTTCCACTGTCCCAGGCTGCTCCAAGCCCCAATGTCCAGCCTGGCCTTGGGCACTGCCAGGGATCCAGGGGCAGCCACAGCTGCTCTGGGCACCCTGTGCCAGGGCCTGCCCACCCTCACAGGGAACAATTCCTAATTCCCAATATCCCATCCAGCCCTGCCCTCTGGCACTGGGAAGTCATTCCCCGTGTCCTGTCCCTCCATGCCTTGTCCCCAGTCCCTCTCCAGCTCTCCTGGAGCCCCTTCAGGCCCTGCAACGGGCTCTGAGCTCTCCCTTGGAGCTTCTCCTCTTCAGGTGAGCACCTCCAGCTCTGCCAGCCTGGCTCCAGCCCTGGGAGCAGCTCTGGGCCCCCTCTGGACTTGGGCACCAGGGATGGGGCACTGGGTGGTGACAGCCATAAATCCCCTGCACTCCATGGGCTGGAATCACCCCCACTCTCCTTGGCCTCCATGGTTTCAGGGGTGGAGATCTGGCCTGGCAGCAGGAGCTGGGCTGGTGCCTGGCTGGGTCCCCTCCTCCCAGTGTCCCTGCTGGAGCTGGGGCCAGCAGCTCGGCCACCTCCAGGCCCTGCTGTGACTGCTGGGCTGGGCCAGGGAGGAGGCCCAGGAGAGGGGGCACCTGCTGAGCACCCACCCCGGGACAGCTCAGCTCCAGCAGGGCCAGGGCTTCCTTAGGAACATTTCCCTGGGATTTATTGCCTCCCCTTCCCCACAGTGAAGGAGCAGAAATGTCCTGGCTGGATGGGTCCCTCCCTCTGGCAGCTCCTGCCTCAGTTTGCAGGTGACAAAATGAGGACGATGCCCTTCCTTCAATTAATTCCCATCTCTTCTTCCTTCCCCCTCAGGGCACAGCAGCAGCTCCAACATCATAAATGATTTAGGAGCGGAGCCAGATGAAGCCAAAGCTGATGGATGACAGTGCTCTGCTTGGGGGAATGTTTTCCTGCTGGAGGTTTTTTGGAAACAAATATATTTATCCTCATGCAAAATTGAAACACAGCCCCCATTGCAGGTGACTCAGCCCTGAGTCAGGATCCAGTGGGAGCACAGCTGGAAGAGCCCATGGAGCAGCCAGGAGGGCTCCAGGCTGTGCCAGGGAAGGGGGAACTGGACAGGAGTCCTCAGGGCTCCTCAAATTCTCCCTGGCTTTAAGAGGTTAAAATTATTTTTGCCCATTCTGCCCCTCAGGATGGAACTTCCTGAGTCTCCAGGTTGGCTTTGGAAGCACCAGGTCCCCCTCTTCAGGAAGTGGCAGCCAGGACACGCTCTGTGCCTTGGCTTTGGGCAAAATCCCCCAAACCAGGCTGTGGGCGGCTCTTTGGGGGCAGTGCTGGGGGCAGGAGGGAGGATGGGGAACCCTATGGGCTGGATCACAGCACTATGGGCTGTGATCCAGATCAAAGCCTACGGAAAAGGGGATGGAATTACAGGTATTGAGTCAAATACACCTAGGGCAGCACGAGAGCATGGGCTGGTCCTGAACCGTGCCACTGGAGAGGTTCTCCCAGCTGGGACCTTCCACTGCCCTTGGCAGAACAGAAACCCTCCCTGAACTCAGGTCACTTTTTCCTGGGGTGCATCCTATTCCCTGAAAGGCTCCCTGAGGAATCCCAGCCCCCCCAGCCCGGGTACCAGCCCAGTTCCTGGAACAGGGGCAGTTCCAGGTGGGGCAGGGGGTGCTGCTGTCAGAGGGCAGCAAATCCCTGCTCCCAGCAGGGTCAGAGCCTCTGGGCCCGGCACAACCGGAGCAGGATCCCAGAGCAGGGTCCCACAGCTCCAGCTGTGCCAGCCACGTCCCCAATTCCAGGTGTCCCCAAACAGCCAGAGGGTTCTGTTCTGGGGCCTTGTGTTCTCTTGTGCCTCTAGAAGTGCTGGGTGTGAGCACAGCCTGGAGGGGTTTGGGCACTGGAAGATCCACCCTGAGCACGAGGCACTCCAGTGGAACTGCAGGAGCAAACCCTGCCCCGGCTGCTCTGGGAGCAGCTCCAGATGTGGCCCAGGTGGGTATCCTGGTCCCAGCTGCCTGGCACTCGGGGCTGTGCTGTCCCACAGGGCAGGAGAAAGCCCCATTTTAGGACATGGCAGGTGCCAATTCCCATGGGAACGCCGTGGCACTGAGCCCATGTCACCCACACTGTCCCCTGCAGTGCCCTCCCTGCCCAGCAGCCGTGGGGAGGAGCAGGGAGAGGATGGAGGGAATGCAGAGACACACAGAGGATACAGAAAGATGGAGGGAGTGTGAGAACACAGGGGAGATCAGGAGATGGATGGAAGGAGCACAGGGAGGATCAAGAAGGATGGAGGGAACCACAGGGAGCACCAGGGAGAGGAATGGAGGGAGCCCAGGGAGGATCAGGAGAGGCCTCTCAGCTCCAGTGAGTCCTCTCAGTTGGCCTTGTGGGGGTGGGACCCTGTGTGACAGGGACAGCAGGGACTGGGTGTCCTGGGGGGCTGCAGAAGAAATGGCACCAATACCAAGGACAGGGCAGATACAATTTTCTTTGGAGCCCCCTGGATTCCAAGGGAAGGCACTGTCAGGGTGCTGTGGAGCACCTCACACCACAAGCTGATTCCCGTGGCAGCCCCAGGATCCTCCAGCACTGGGGCTCCTCTCCCAGAGCAGCTCCTGCAGCTGCCAGCGCTCCCAGGGGCCAGCAGAGAACTGGGATGGCCTGGGAGGGTCCTGCCAGGGAGGTAGGTGTGGGATGGAGGGAATTTAGGAAAGAGGGAGAGGTGCTGAAGGGCTGGGATCCATCGAGGGGAATGTGCTGGGTCCAGGTGGACACCGAACACACCAAGCCCCAAAATTCCAGCTGATGGTCCAGGGTTAACTGGAGGCTTGTGTCCAGGGCAGGGAACAGAGCTGGGAAGTGTCTGGAGCACCAGGAGCAGCTGAGGGAGCTGGGAAGGGGCTCAGCCTGGAGAAAAGGAGGCTCAGGGGGCCCTTGTGGCTCTGCACAACTCCTGACAGGAGGGGACAGCCGGGGGGTCGGGCTGTGCTCCAGGGAACAGGGACAGGAGGAGAGGGAACGGCCTCAGGCTGGGCCAGGGGAGGGTCGGGGTGGACAGCAGCAGGAATTTCCCCATGGGAAAGGTGGTCAGGCAGTGGAAGGGGCTGCCCAGAGCCCTCCCTCCACCTCCCTGGGGTGGAGTGCCCATCCCTGGCAGTGCCCAAGGCCAGGCTGGATGCAGCTTGGAGCAGTCTGGGACAGTGGAAGGTGTCCCTGCCCATGGCAGGGGTGGAACAGGATGGGCTTTAAGGTCCCTCCAACCCAAACCATGCCAGGATTCTGTGATTTTTTTAAAAACATACTCAGGAAAGGCACCCACTATCCATCGCCCACCCAATGTTCTCCCTTCCACCCCACATCTGTTAGGAAAGGGCTCTTATACAACATTTGTGCTTCTCATCTCCTTCCAATTAACCTCCCACCCTCCCTGACAAACCCTGCTCAGCAGCCACACCAGAGGTGCTCTAGGAAAAACTCCTTTATTTTCCTTCTGCTTTAGAAACTCTGTACAGCTTAAGAAAAGAGGCTGTTTTTAAAAAGCAATGGAACCCCCATGTCAGGGCTGCTCCATCTACAGCACCAGGCACACCCAGCTGGAGCCCAGCAGGGCTCTGACGGATGGGAGCTGGTGCATAGGGCTGCTGGGAGTGGGATAACACTGCTCCTAAACCTCATTCCCAAAGCCTTGAGGTTTGAAGACACTTGGAGAGGTATCAGAAGCTGCAGGTGGTTATCCATAGGGGTGCTGTTACATCATTCCCAAGGTTTGGCTTCTTGGGAATGGGGTTTTTACAGGAAATGGCACCAGTGTGTAAAATACCTGAACCTGAACAAAGTCCCTAAAATGATGCTCCCAGCAGAGATCAGCTTTTGGATCCAGGTCTGGCTGTGGCCCTGATCCAACCTTGTGGGGCTGAAATCCCCTGGCATTTTTCCTTGGGGATGTGGAATGTTTTGCTGCCAGTCTCTCCTTACACAGGAGTCCAAGGAACCCTCTGGCCCCATGTCCCACTCCAAACATTCCCCACTGAGATCCCAGCACTGCCCACCCCCACCCCTGCTGCTGAACCAGTTCTGATTCATCGCAAGAGAAGAACATTATCAGTATTTTCATCCAGGAAGCCCAAGAAACAGGAGGGAAGGGTAAAATCCAGGCTGGACCCCCTTCCCAAACATCAAGATAATCCAGGTGGGTGGATCCAGAACGGGTGGCAGCCTGAAATGGGAGTCCTGGGAAGCCCAGGGTGCGGGAGCCCAGCCCTCAGCAACCCGAGGTGTCCCGTGCCTTGTTCTTCCGCTGGAATCTCACATCCAAGGGGTCGAATCCCCGTTCTCTGGCCCCAAAGAGGGCCCAGGGAGGAGTTCTGGCTGTGTACTCAGCTGCTGTGAAGGTCCTGGAGCCACCGCTGCGCTCGTGCTCCCTGACCAGCTCCTGGAAACGGCCGTAGTCGATCCAGGTCCTCCACTCGCCATCCACCTGGAACTGCAGGAGAGGAGACAGTGAGGGAGCACCAACCCCAGGGTGTGCTGAGCAGCTGGGTGGGGATGAGCTGGGATCCCCAGCTGGGTAATTCTGCATCACATGGAGCTGCAGGTAAAGCCGTCCAGAGGCTCCTGTAGGATACAGCTTCAGTAGGAAAACAGGAGGGACTCAGGAGCCAGCAGGGAACTGATTCTCCACCTCTGTGCTGCCCTTGTGAGACCTCCCTGCAGAGCTGCTTCCAGCTCTGGAAATCTCAGCACTGAAACAACCTCATGTTGCTGGAGCAGGCCCAGAGGAGGCCCAGGAGTGCTCCCAGCAGAGCCCTTTCCTCTAGAGCCAGGCTGGCAGAGCTGGGAGTGCTCACCTGGAGAGGAGAAGGCTCCAGGGAGAGCTCAGAGCTCCTTCCAGGACCTCAAGGGGCTCCAGGAGAGCTGGAGAGGGACTGGGAACAAGGCATGGAGGGACAGGACAGAGGGAATGACTTCCCAGTGCCAGAGGGCAGGGCTGGATGGGATATTGGGATGGAATTGTTCCCTGGGAGGGTGGGCAGGCCCTGGCACAGGGTGCCCAGAGCAGCTGTGTCTGCCCCTGGATCCCTGGCAGTGCCCAAGGCCAGGCTGGACATTGGGGTTTGGAGCAGCCTGGGACAGTGGAAGGTGTCCCTGCCATGGCAGGGGTGCCACTGGGTGGAATTTAAGGTCCCTGCAACCCATCCCAGGATCCTGTGGTATCTCCATGAGGGCTGCACTGTTGGATGCTTTGCTGGAGCCTTCAAAGTCTCCAGATCCTCCCCCAGTTTCCAGGAGGGAGGCTCCTAAAATGCCTCCCCACGCCTTCCCAGGTGTCTGCCCTTGCCCTTGACACTCCCATGGGAAAGCCCTTGGTGTGGGGAGCTGGGAGAGCTCTGCAGGACAGGTGTGGATTTGGGGCCATGCCCAGGTACCCCTGAGAAGGGACCTTGCCAAGGTTACCTCAATCCCAGCATGGGACTGTGGCTCCAGGGCAGCCCAGCCTGGGACAATGGCCCAGGAGCAGCACCTGAGGCACGTGCCAAGGGATTGGGATGGATTTGGGATGGATTTGGGTGACTCTGGACAGGGCAGGAGGGCTGTGGTTGGGAACGGGGGAGATGAAGAGGTTTAATGACACAAATCCTCTTTCCATGTGAAGAATGGCTCACTTTGACAAGCTGGAGCTGCATTTGTCTCCCAGACCTGCTCTGCCCATTTAGCCCCAGCCTTTGCTGAAGCCTCAATTAGGATTTATCTCAGCTAAGAGCTTATTACGCATTTAATCCAAAAAAAGAGGGAAAACAGACCGGCTCCTTGGTTATTGTGGGCTTTTTCCCCCCCAAACTTGATGGCTGTGCATTTCAAATGGCACTTGACTTTGTGCCCAAGAACTAAAAGCTTTTTTGGTTGGGAAAACTGCTGACACCCCTGAAATTCTGCACTCAGCCGTGGCTGATGCTCCTCCATCCCTGCCCATGGAATTACAGTGTGTCCCTGCCGGGGCTGCAGCCAGGAGGGGACACTGCAGAATCACAGCACTGGGAACCAGTCCTGGCATCAATCAAGGGGCCCAAGGCTCACTTCTCTTGTGCCAAGGTGGGGACGTGTGTGAGGCCACCAGGAGAGCAATGGCAGAGGAGACATCGTGCCACCTGAAAGGAAAAATCCTGAGCCCAAGGAGGATCAGGGCTCTGCAGAGCTGAGCTCCCCCCAGAGCTGGGGAGGTGACAATGTCACACCTGACACCAAACTCTGCTCCCTCCGGGTTTGACCCACGAACACTCAGCAAATTAAAGGGCAAACCCCAAACCAGAGGATCCAGCAAGGCCTTTAAGGCCCAAGGGGGATTGGCCTCCCACTGCCAGAGGGTTGGATGGACACGGGGAGGGAATTCTCCCTACTGACGGTGGGGAAGGGCTGGGATGGAATTCCCAGAGGAGTTGTGGCTGCCCCTGGATCCCTGGCAGTGGAAGGTATCCCTGTCCATGGCAGGGGTGGCACTGGATGGGTTTGAGGTCCCTTCCCACCCAAACCCCTCCATGATTCTGTTCCCCATTCCTACCAGAACAACCAAGCTAGGATCCATTCCAAAGCAGATCAATCAATAATCACCATTTTTAGTGCAGTGAATGAACCACAACACCAGAGGGGCAAGGGTGTCATGGGGAGAAATGGCTCCTGCTGAGGAGTAAATCACAAACCCAGAGTGGGGAAGAACAGCCTCAACTGCCGTACTGGAATTTTCAGCTTGGATTTAACAATGTTGTGATTGTTCCACAGGGAACAAAAGATTTTCGGCTCAAAGCAGTTTCACAGCCTCCATTTAACAGGGGAGCCAACCCTAAACATCCCTGGGATCCCACCCTAACGTGGGCAGGTGTTTTAGGGAACTGTTCACTGCCTGTGGAGCCCTTCAGGGTGATAAATACATTGACACAAGGTAAATGGCTGAGAGCCCTCCCCTGGTTCTTCCCTAAGCTGGAATCACAGAGTGCCACAGCTCCTTCAGCTGGCCCTGGGCTGAGCTGGAAAGGGAAACTCTCCCTCCCCGAGGGCCCTGCCCAGCACTGGGGTGACTCAGGAGTCTTCCTTTGGAGCTCCTGGAGCCCCTGAGCTCCAGTCCCCAAGGTCTCAACACCCACTGCTCTCCACAGATGTGGCACAGATGCACAGCCAGGAAAACCCTGATGGAATCCTGCAGATCCTCCAGGGCAAGGAGCACTGCTCCAGGAAGGCATTAATGATGGGATACAAGAGGCACAGGAATGAGGGGAAATGAAATCAGCTAAACAGGTGTAAGAGACAGTCCAAAGTTTCCCTCATTTGCCTCACGACCATCACAAGAACAGAGAACAGGACCACTGAAGACCTTTATCGGAGTTCTGGCCTGGCTGAGGTGGATGCTCACCAAGGGATTGCTCACAGCTGTGTCCACAGCGCTTCCAGCAGGGCCTGCCAAGGGGCAACTCACCCTGTATGCTTACACCTGCTTCATGACAATGGCCCAGGAATTTCCCCACCTCTTGGCCAAATGAACTTTCAGGGGTAACTTTGGTAGCCCCCCATGGAAAATCCTTCATCTGCTCCACTACCACCGTGACGGACGGAGGTTGAAGCCCCCTCCCAAGGACTGAGACTGAGACCCCTGGAATTCTGGTATAGGGGTGCTGGCCTGACTGAAGCAGAACACTGCCAAGTGTTGCCTGCCGGTGTGTTCACTGGACCTAGACTGGTTTCCCATAAAAACCAGTCCTGAAACAAAGGGTCCCGCTCACTGCTGAGAACATGGACTGTCTGTACCCGTCTTCAATACCTGTTCCCCCTCAGCAATTTCAAGGACTTATTCTTTATTGTATCTGTTCCCCCTCAGTGATTTCAAGATCTGTTCCCCCCTCAGCAAAGGACTATAATAGATCCCTGAGTTAACCAGGACTTTGAGATTCTCCCCAACGTCACAAGGCGAATTTCCCACCGACAGGAGCACGAGGATCTCATCTCTACGTTTGGTAGCTATATGCCCTCTCTCTCTCTCTTATCTCTTTTCTAATCCTCAATTGCATTTGCTGTGGTCATTCAATAAAAGGTGTATTTGTTTTGATCAATACTGAAATCCCCTCTGTGTTGTTTTTTGCACTCTGAGATCAGCTAACAAACCATCACGACCTCCTGCTTGTATGAGCTGATCGTGACACCTGGGCACCAAGATGCTCCAGGCCCTCCTCATCCTCATCCTCCCAGCCTGAGCTGGCCCCGCTCCAGGAGCTCTGTCCCTGCTGTGCTGAGGATCCAGAGGTGCCCCAGGGCTGGGATCCCTCCCCGACCTGCTGGGTCAGGACAATGAATTCATTAATTACCAATTCATTAACCCCAGGGCTCTCTGCTGGCCCAGGGACAGCTCAGGGTCCCCCAGGCCCCTTCCTGGCACCGCAGCAGGAACGGGACAGCCCCGGGACAGGGCTGGCCTGGGACAGGGCCTGTCCCTCACAGAGCCCCGAGCCAAACTGGGAGAGATCCATGGATCCATACACCCAGACTGGGATAGACCCATAGATCCACATATGCAAACTGGGAGAGATCCATACAACCAAACTGGGATAGATCAATAGATCCATGTATCCAAACTGGGATGTATCCGAACTGAGATATATCCATGTATCCAAACTAGGACAGATCCATATATCCAGACTGGGATATATCCATGTATCCAAACTAGGACAGATCCATATATCCAGACTGGGATATATCCATATATCCAAACTGGGACAGATCCATATATCCAGACTGGGATATATCCATATATCCAAACTGGGACAGATCCATATATTCCTACGTCCAAAGTGGGATAGTTCCATATATCCGGACTGGGATACATCCATCCACACAAGGTGGGATATATCCATCAGAAACGGATCAAATGGAGAGCCGGGTTCCCTGGAAGCATCTGCAGAGCCGACGGAGCCCTCCCTTTGCTCCTGAACTGCCAGGAGTGGCCCTGACCAGGACAATTCCATCACTCCTCTTTGGCAGTAGATTCACAGCTGCTCTCACCACAGCAGGAGCAGCTCCTGAAATCCATCAACATTCCTGAAGGAGAAGAGCCACGCTCCAGATTGCTTTTCTTATCAACATATTTGCAGAGGCAGTTTGGGGGGGTGGGATCTTGTGCACAGATTAAGGACAGTCCAGGAGGACCATGCACTACATTCCCCCAGACATGAACACTGCTGAGAAATAATCCCAGGTGTATCTGACAGGATAAAATATGGGACAGAGGCTGGGATGTGACACAGGGAATGCTGAGGAATGGATGCAGCTAAAACCAATTAGTTTGTCCTACCAAGGGTAATGTTGTATTTCCCTCAGAGCCAACCAGGCTGGCACAAGGAGGCTCCTCCTGAGCCACTCACTCCAGTCCTGCACCACACACATCCAGAGGATTTTCAGGGAAGGACTGAACAGCACAGGAGAGAGTGGAGCAGAGCAGGAGGA